CCTGGGAGGGCCCGGGCTGAGCCTGGCATAGGCTCAGCGTGACGAGCCCCTGTGGGTTTTTATTGCTTTGCTGCCCAGTTGCTGCTGAGGTCATCGGGACAAAGCCTTTACTCACCGCAGGCTGTTTACTGCTTTTCTTGTCCCTTTTCTGATGATGAAGGGCTCTGGCACACTGCCCTCTGCTTTCCCTCTCCCTTACGCTTAAACCAGACCTGCTGGTGTGGTGACAGCCCCCTCACCCCCAGCGGAGATGCGTGTCTCTGCGTGGGCCGGTCAGGTGCTGCCGGCTTGCGTCGGGAGAGACTCTGATGCCTCGTTGCTGCTCCTGTTAGAGACTGATGGCTCCTCGCTGTTCTCGTTCCTCCCAGACAGAAGCAACCTGGCCGGGGTGCAGCACATCGTGCTGGTGCTCTCCGGGAAGGGCGGCGTGGGGAAGAGCACCATCTCCACTGAGCTGGCTCTGTCGCTGCGGCACTCAGGGAAGAAGGTGAGCGAGGGCCTGTGGGGTGCTGGGCTCTGTCTTCTCCTTACCGACCTCCAGGTGGGCTGGGTTTTGCTCATCCTTTATGCACGCGTGTGTGTCCTATGCGGGCAGCATATAGATCCTCTGTGTGAAAGTGCTTTTTGTCATAGTGACTCGAGTGTTTCTTTTTTTCTGTGCTTGCCTGATCCAGCACAGGTAACTGCAGTTCACTTCCCCTTCATACAAGAGACTAAATTTACCTGAGATCCGTTGTTGGTTTTGAAGCTAAGGCACTGAGAAATGGCTTTGCTGGTTTGTGGTGTAACACACACTCGCTTTGTGGAGTGAAGTGGGCGAGCTGAAGGATGGTGTTACGCTGGGGACAAAGAGGAGCAGTGTGGGCGTGAGGCAGGCTGAATTCCTTGAGGACTTTTTGAAGGCTCTGTGGAGCCAGTGCCACTTGGATCCTGACAGGTGTCCGACATAAAGATCTCCCCAGAGTGCCTGGAAATGGCCGGGAGATGCTCCTTGGAGGGAAGGAGGCTGGGAGAGCAGTCAAACTTTAAAGCAGTTCTTTGAAACTGTGTTTCAAATCTGGCTGCTGAGTCACAGAGCCCTTTCTGTAAAGTGCTGCGAGCGGTGAAAATTTGGACGCCGGCCCCCCTGCCCAGGGAAGGAGTGCGGCCAGGTGCTGCTGCTGTGCTCAGCCGTGTCTGAAGGCTCTGCCTTGTCACCTGCAGGTGGGGATCCTGGACGTGGACCTGTGTGGCCCCAGCATACCCCGCATGTTCAGGGTGCAGGACAATGATGTGCACCAGTGCGACAGCGGCTGGGTCCCCGTCTTCGTGGACCAAGACAAGAGCATCTCGCTCATGTCCATCGGCTTCCTGCTAGAGAAGCCGGATGATGCCGTGGTGTGGAGAGGACCCAAGAAAAATGGTACCAGTTGTTTATTGCTGTTGGTGGCCACCTTCCAGTGCAAGGAATCTTCTGTGAACTCTCCTGGAGGGGGTGCTGGCTCCTGCTGGGGGCCAGGCTTTTCTGGGCAGGTAGTTCCTTGGAGGAACAAGGCTCCTGTTCTGCAGGAGTGGGTTCAGATCACTCGGGTGGGGAGAGGGCATCTTGTGTTGTGCTGGCAGACAGTCCTGCTGTCTTTCCCCGGCCCCTTGTCACTCAGGGTGCCTCCTGACCCCTGCCCCACCTGGCCCACGCAGGGGGCACCTGATGAAACCTGCTTGTTTAGGGGTGTTTTCTGCCCCTTTTATTTCTGTAGCTTTGATCAAACAATTTGTTGCTGACGTGGCCTGGGGGGACCTGGACTTCCTCATTGTGGACACGCCGCCAGGCACATCAGACGAGCACATCTCCACGGTGGAGGCCTTGCGGCCCTACAAGCCGCTTGGAGCCATCCTGGTGACAACGCCCCAGGTAGGACAGCTGGCTGGGGCTGAACTGGAGTTCCCAGGCAGGCTTCTGGTGTGTGTGTGGAATATACACCCCCGGAGGATGTTCACACAGACCTGTCCGTGGCTGCTTATTCTATGTTTCTGCCTCTCGTTTGATGCACACCTGCTCCAAACCCATGGTCCGTCTGGACAGACGGACACCCCTAACCACTGCTGCTCTCTGATGCAGGCCGTGTCTGTGGGAGATGTGAGGCGAGAGCTGACGTTCTGTAAGAAGACGGGCCTACGGGTTCTCGGCATCGTGGAGAACATGAGCGGCTTCGTCTGCCCGCACTGCTCGGTGAGTTGGTTGGGACCGCTGGGCTATTGCAGGTTCTTGTTTGTGATGGGGTGTTGTAGGACGTGGTGCTTTGGGTGGAAAATGGGCAGATGCCGCAAGGGCAATGCTTTGAGCTGGGGAGATGAGAAGCTGCTTTGTGTCAGCTTTGGAAGAAACCACTGGCTCTCTTTTCCTAAAGAGAGCGAGGGTGAAGGCAGTGCCCCGAGGCTGGAAGGTGGAGGGGAGCTGGCTCTGCTCACGTGCAGGCAGCGCCTGCCCTGTCGCACAGGGCCCTGGGGTTTATGACTCACTGCTTTTGCTCTTCCTCCTCCAGGAGTGCACAAACATCTTCTCCAAAGGAGGAGGTGAGGAGCTGGCCAAGCATGCTGGGGTCCCCTTCCTAGGTGAGTGGCCTCTTGAGCACAGCTTTCCGTGGTCAGAAGTGATATCTCCGTGGTGCTGTGGGGGTGCTGGAGCGGAGGGATGCAGCGTCGCAGGGATGGGCAGGCTGGGCGCTGGGTCCCTGTAAGCCCCTGGCACCCGGTCAGAGGCAAGGTGTGGTTCTTGCTTTGCTTCTCTGCCATCCAAACCGCTCGGAGTAGGCACCTGTCCCTGCTGGGGCAGAGGCGGTGGTGATCAGCAGCCTGCTCTGGCTGTTGACATAGCGGTGACAGAGTGAGCCAGGCTGAAGCTGCACAGAGCCAACCTGAAATGCCCTGGAGCCTCCCGGAGAAATGGGGGCTGTGGGCTGAACCCTGCCCACCAGATCGGGGTGGGATCAGGGTAGAAGAGTGTCTCTCGTGAAGCACCGTGATGGGGTCTTGGACTTGGAGGAAGTGGCTGCAGGTGAGAAATAGCTCCTGGAGAGCTCAGTGGGGATTGTGGTTGCTCTCTGTCCTGCTGCTTCTCTAGGAGTTGACTCTCCTGTCAGGGTATTTCTTTAATTCTGACTCCAGGCCTTTGCCCTGCAATGAGCAAGCAGTCACTCTCCCCATTCCTTCTACCCCACAGGCTGTGTTCCCCTGGACCCCCAACTCAGCCAGAGCTTGGAAGAAGGCAGAGATTTCATCCAAGAGTTTCCCAAGAGCTCTGCCTTCCCTGCCTTAGCTCACATCGCCCAGCAGGTCTTGGATGCTTCGTCACAGCAGAGCTCCTGAGGGTGATCCGGAGCTGGACTTTGCTAGCAGAGCCCCTGGCCTGGCAGCACCACCACAAAGAAGCTGTTTGTCTATAAAACTGTCTCAGCGGAGGGTGACGGAGGGAGGGAGGAGCACAGCATCGGTGCCGCTCACGGCAATCCAAAAAGGGAAGCACCACTCAATCCCCCTGGATCCGAAGAGACCCTGCCCAGGCGCTCCTGCCCGCGCAGCGGCAGCCTGCTGCTTGCCTTTTCCATGTGAAAGTGCTCTGTCCAGGCGGTACAGTTGTTCCTGGCCCCATGCACGCAACGCCTTCCCCCGCAGCCAGCTGTTGTGCGGGTGCTCGGGGAGCTCTAGCTTGTGTCCATGGCATCTTGTATGCTGCAGTGCTTCTGGCGAGCACCCGGTGCAGCTATGGTGGCAAATGCCATCGACTGTTCTTCCTTCACTGAACCCAGACGGCACCCATCATCCGGATCGTGGCTCCATGCTCTGCTGCCTTCTGCCGCTTTCCTTGTGTGACAGATTAAATGGTACTTGGCTTGGTGGCTGGTAAGTTCGTGCTGGATGCTCTGATGTGGACCCAAGCCAGGCCACCTTGCTGTGACGTCTCGGATCACTGGTTCCTGATGGGCCGGTGAGGGCATGGGATATGCTTCACATGAGAAAATGTTGTTAGGAGATCTGCCACCGTCTGAGGTCTGCATCCCGCTGTGCTGGGAGCAACGCCTTTTTGGTCTGCTGGGGCTTATCATGACTCAGGAATATTTTTAAGGGTTCCAGGCAGTAAACACTTTTCTTAAAATCTAAGTCTGTGACATGTTTTTCCATGGCTTCAAGCCTCATTGTAGCTGTGAGTCTTGGTATTACAAGCACTTCACGTACATCTAGGTATTTTCTGCTTTTCCCCTGTTTCCTTGTGGGGGTTCAGCTAAATCTTTCCTCTTTCCGCACCAGCTTCAAGATCCAGCCAGTCCCTTGCCTTGCTGAAAGCTGGCCCTGGCAGTCCTGTGCGAGATGCTTTGCCGTGGCTGTTCCCCACACCCCTGCCACATGTGGGGCTCCTGGGTGGTTCCTGCCTCATTGTTCCGAGTGTCCTTTTCCCTTGAACCTCCCTCCATGGCCCCAGAGCTGCTGCTCCCGTGGGACCTGCCCTGCTCTTGCAGGCTCGAGTTAACCTGGGGAAGCAAATGAAGGTGGTGTCCTTGCATCTTATCTCCCTCCCTCCTGGACTCTGAGCCTCTCCTGCCTGTGTGACCTCTCTACACTCACGCTCGCCCTTGCAGCACTGGTTTGGGGATGCAGGGGCAAATTGCAGATTTCTACTAGCCAGACTGGACTATAGCTGGCAGCTGTCACTTGGAGGAGAGCAGGAGCAGCATCTGCCCCTGCCCACGCTGCGCCTGCAGCGAGGACTCGCACCTGACCAGGTTTTCCCATGTGCAGCTTCCCTGGAAAATTTTGTCTGACCTTTGATCACTTATCTGGGATTTGGAGAGCTGGGCAGCAGGGCTGGAGTCTGACCAGACTGTTGGCTGCTGCGGGGTGGCCGGTCACCTCTCACTCCCTCCCTGGGCACCTGCCACCCACCTGGAGCTCACTGAAAACTTGCTGCAAACTCCTCCGGCACCCTGGGGAGCCTGTGCTCCTCACCCTGTGCAAGCCCTGAGGAGCTCCCCTAAGAAACCCCAGCCAGCTGCAGCACGTGCTTTGGAAAAAACATACTTACAAGATGGGTTGCGATAGCTCCAAAGGTTTATTTGTCTGCTGCGATTTATCAGGTAAAGTGACATGTGTGGCTTTCTGCACCCTGCCTATTCCTGCTAGTGCAAGGAATGATTAAAGCAAGTTGTCTGCCCCCTGCCCTAAACTCAGAGGGGGCTTTTAGGCTCTTGGCTTCTCCATGGCAGGAAGATGCTTTGCTTTCTCCCACTGATGAGTCCTGGCCCCGGCAGGGATGCTGCTCACCACAAGAAGGGCTCCGGGCTGGGGGTGCAGCTTTCCCTGTCCCGGAGACTCAGAGGTGCTCGTGTTCCTGACAGGAGCCGGGAGCAACCATGCTAACCCAGGGGCTGCTGTTTAAATATTACAGGGCTGAAATATTTCAGTCTGAAGCCAGCAAAGCCCATCTAGGAAGCTGGTGCCCACCTCCCCCTGCCAGCGGCCGGCATCATGGTCCAGCATCGTGTGGGCACGGCTCCTTGCTGCTGCCCTGGGGAGCTGGCAGCAGCAAAGCTGGGCTAAACTGGGGTGGCCGCAGAGCCAGAGCTCCTGCTGCTGCCCCAGGGAGCCCAGGATGGGGCTGGGGAGAAGGCAGGTGAGGGTCCGTGGTGCATCCCCCCAGGAAGGGCTGATGTGCATCAGCAGTGAGCAAAGCTGTCCTCAGTGGTGTCGCGGAGGTCCAGGCCTGCCACGGCCGGGGGGTGGAGGCAGGTGAGGTTGTTGTAGGTGTAGACAGGGACGTGGGCATCGTCCCCCTCGGCCACAGACTGCACAAAGCGCGGGACCACCACGGGGTGCTGCAGGGAGAAGTCCCGCAGGCCCTTTAGGGAGCAGTTGCAATGCCAGTTGTTGCCCCCAAGCCACAGCTGCTCCAGGGCGAAGGAGGCACACAGGAAGCCCACTGAGAAGGTCTCCAGTGAGTTGTTCCTCAGGTTGAGGTACCGCAGGTTGGCCAGAGGGGAGATGACTGTGTTGTCCAGCGTCTCCAGCTGGTTATGGGAGAGGTCAAGCCAGAACAGTCTCTGAAGCGGGCTGAAGGTGTCCTGGGAGATCTCCAGGAGCTGGTTGGAGGAGAGGAAGAGGTACTCCAGGTTGCCTAGGCCCACAAAGAGCTGGGGTGAGAGATGGCTCAGCCTGTTGTGCTTCAGGTCGAGCTCCAGCAGCTCATGCAGTTCGCTGAAGCTTTGGTCTTCAATGACGGAGATTGCGTTGTGCTGCAAGAAGAGCCGCCGCAGGCTGGAGAGGCTGGAGAAGGTGTTTGCCCGGATCCTGCCAAGGCAACTGTGCTCCAGGTGGAGGCTGTGCAACTTGGTGACCCCCTTGAAGACATAGTCAGCGAGGACCTTGATGCAGTTC